TAAGTATATACTTCATTACATAATGTATTTCACAATGAAGTATATACTTCATTGTGAATATAATGTATTTCACAATTGTAAAAAATAAACTGATGCCATTAAGTTTAATTTTCAGTGTTATTAAAAAAATCCGGTAATTAAAGTATTAGTGCCTGACAATCTTTTTAGAACATTTTGTGTAATAAAACTCTGAAAAATCATAAAATCTAAGTAGTGCTGCCACATTGCCTTATCATCATATATGGAAGAAAGAGTTCAATTTCTAGCTTGTGATTTATTTTATGTAACATTTTAATAGGTAGAGGAAGTCAGCCAAATATTTTGATAGGAGAGGTATTATATTAATCTTGGGATCCATAATAAATGAAACATCATACTGTGAACTATTCTGTAAGAAGACCCTAACTTGAATAATTTGGACAAGAGATATTCTCTCCAAATTCTTATGATAGGAAGAAAGAATAAACTAAATTTAACTAAATATAATTAACTTGCTTGCTACCATGTTGTTAGTTTGGGTTGGGGTTGGGGAAGTAACAAGATTAGCTACATGTTTTTTTGGTAAAATCTATAATGTTTAAAAATACTTATAAAGAAGTCCAGAATCTTACAAAACTGTATTTATTTATTTTATAATCATTTCATTCTTTGCTAATAAAGTCATTATAAATTTTTTCCCTTTTAAGTTATACAGAGAAAACATGTATGCATCTATTGCTTGTATTGTTATCACCTGAATAGCAATGATGGTGCACATTGAAGTGAAGAATTTATTTTAGACCTATTTTAGGTTTGGTAAGAATGTTGAGGGGTCATTGCATAGATTTTAGTAACATAACTCCATTACTTTAAATTTTTTTTTTTACTGTTTGTTTATTTTTGGGAGCGAGAGAGGAGAGAGAGAGCATATGAGTGTAAGTGGGGGAGGGGCAGAGAGAGAGAGGGAAACACAGAATCTGAAACAGGCTCCAGGCTCTGAGCTGTCAGCACAGAGTCTGACATGGAGCTCAAACTTGGGAATGGCTAGACCATGACTTAGGCCAAAGTCAGATGCTTAAGTGACTGAACCACCCAGGCGCCCCCATAACCACATTACTTTAAACATCCTGCATTGAATTATGCTTGTTTATTTTTCTAATCTCAAGACTGTGATCCAGGATGGATAATATTAGTGTAATAAATCAGGTTGAGTGGTCAATAAATATTAATAATAAATACTATTTATTTAGTACCTACCATATGCTAAAAACTCTTCTAGGTATTTTAGTATATTGTTGCAAGAAGTTCTCAAGGACATGTATCTAGGATGGTTATTATTGCTGAGTTGTAAGATATGCATGTGTTCTGCTTTACAAGATAACGTCAGCTTGCCTTCCAAAGTGGCTATATAAGTGACAACTTTCTCCTGCAGTGTAAGAGAGTTTGTTTGTGTTGTTCCCCATTTTTGGCATCACGTGGTATCGTCCAGCTTTTAAAAATAATTGTCAACCTGACAGTGTGAAACGGAGGCTCAGATACATGAAGAAATGGGCTGAATTTTAACCAGTGAATTAATGCTGATGTCACATTCTAATGCAGGTTTGCCTGATGGCAATTGTAATAGGCTGGATTTCATAGAAATGGAAATATATAGGCTAAGTCTTTTTTATAACAGAGGATACTTAGGAAAAATGAGAGTGATATTTCCTAAGTAAAAATGATTATATTATGTAAGAACTTTCTTAGGGGAAGTATTTCTGAAAGTGTGATTTTAGATTAACTGGATTAGAATCACCTGGTGGTAGTGGTGAGCGTGTGGGAGGGGCAGGCTGAGGCTAGAGAAGGGAGGTACATATTATTTTTAGAAATGTAGCAGATTCCTGAGCCTATCTCTGGTTTTGCTAATTTAAGATCTCTGGGGGTGGGATCTAGTCATCCAAATTGTCTAAAGCTCTCTTACTTTTATTTTTTGTTTTTAGTAAACATGAAGCTTAAGAACTTCTGCTTTAGGAGTTTTGAAGTAATTCCTCAAATACTGTTAGATTCACATACAAACATATATGAACGTAGGCCAAGAGACAGAAACTTAGTCTTACATATATGTGAACACTCACTGACTCTGTCATCTTTCTTTCTTTCTCTTAAAATTCCTTTAACTATTTTTTCTCTCATTTCTGTTCCTTTCTCCACCTTACCCATGACATGAAATAGCATTAGGACTCTGGCAGCAGTAAGAGTAATTCTAAATTCTCTCTGCCTGGCAGGGCCCTACTCCTTTGTGGAAGGACTGTAAGATGCAGAAGCCACGCTCGTCTCACACTGCACTTATTTCATTCCTCTTTATAGAACTGATGATAGCAGTGATATCAGTTGTGGGCTGGTAAAGATTTAGACTTGGTTGTAAAAAGTGGAGATTCATGGAGCTGAGGTAGAGCTGTGAAAGATCCTTAAAGAGGAAAACAATGTGTGAGCTTGGTGGAGAATTACTAGAAATACAGTTCAGACCTCTTTCCCCAGCAACTCTAGTGAGATCCTGCCTTAACGATAGGAATGGATATTGTAGACTGAAAAGAGCTCTGTTCTCACCTGTCCGGACCTTACAAAGGGCTGTTTTCATTGTTGCTGAGCAAGTAAATACTTAATTAAGTGGTACAACTAATTATGGTTAGAATGTAGTAGCTTTTATTTTCTGTTGTTTCAGAGATGCTGATTTACCAAAAACTTAAAAACTCCTTAAGTTCAGCAGAAAACTTTTTCTACAAAATTTTTATCTAAAAAATGAATTTGAATGTTAATCATCAAAACTAGCAATTATCCTTAAATTGGACTTTCAAAATTATGGTCATTTCCAAGTTATCTTAATTTTTATAGTTTGATTATTTGGTTAAAAATTAAATAATTATTATTAAGGGATTAGTTTCATACTTTGTGAAACAAATTTGTTTAACAAAATCTGAAAATAATTTGTGGCAGTTTGTATGTCATGCTTCCAAAACAGAGGCTTTACATCCTATATATGTAAAAGTTGTTAGCTATTCTAAAGGTACAAGAAGAGATTATTGTTCATATCAGTGTAATAAATTGATACTACCCGATCGTACTTTTTCATTTTGCACATTGTCAGAACCTTGGACCTTAATCTTATTCTTTGATTGACAGTACCGATCAGGGAAAGAACACTTGTATTGTTTGGGATAGTCACATCTGTTCAACTTGATTCAGTTGAGGGTATTTGCATATTCTTAAGTATTTCTTCTGAGAGGGCTTAAATCCTTCTCAAGTGCTTGATGCATTTTTGAAATTCATTCATAAGGTATCTACATGCACTAATAGTTTCGTATAGTATTGCTGTGCATAATCTGACAGATAAGACCACATTTTAAAACAAGGTATTCTTTAGGGATGCTACATTACATTTTTACTTGTCCTGTTGGCACAAATGTCAGATTTTTTTCTAAAAGGCTGGTTTAATGTTTTGATTAAATTAGTGTATCTTTATTTTAGGCAGGTCTGTCAATCATAAGACAAATAAAATAAAGATTTATTAAATGATAATTCAAATGTAATGGTAATTTTTCCTGCCTTGGATGCAAAATTGAATAATTTTTATAGAAAACCATTGTAGAGCTTAAATGGATTTCTGTTTAGTCTCCTTATTTTATAGAGGTTAGTGAGGCTCAAGTTTACTTACTCAGGGCCACACAGCTTGAAAATTAGGCCTTATTTTAGATATGAACTCCCAAACCAGTAAATCCTAAGGAATGCTGGTATATGACCTCTGGTTTGCATGAATGATTTCATATGAACTCTGGTTTACTTTATTTACAAATTATCCTCATCTAAAATGTCCCTTGCCATTATAGCACAGAGTCAGGGGTTATGTTTTAATCATCTTCATATCTCTCCTGAATCAAATGTCTTATACATAAGTAATGCCCAATCATTATTTTGCTGTTTTGTTTTCATTGTTCTCCTAAGTTATTATTCTATAAAGGATAATTTTGAAATGAGATAGCTTATTTCTAGAATGTTAAACATCCTTGATAACAAATAGGTTTTATTTTGTATTCATTTCTGATGAATTGGTAGTCTCTGTTGGGAGAATTTTGAGACCTGCTGGAAATCACTTGTCAGTGTCTGCTGAAGACGGAGCATCAGAGAAGCCAATGGTTTCTTCCTTGATATATGTGATCTTAGGGGAGGGAGAGAGAACTGTAGAGTGGAGTGATCAAAAAAGGCCTTGGGAAGAAATAAGGCTCAGATTATAGGATAGATAGAACTCAGATACTGTAGTAAAAATGAGGCAGAATGCCACAGAGGCTGGGAGTTCTATAAAAAAAAATGGTAGGCATTCCAAAAGGAGAAATATCATTAGATTATATTAAACATAATGAAAGGAAGGAAAACAGTTGTTGAGTAATTTTTTTTAAAGATGTTCAGGATCTTTTTTTTTTTTTTTTAAATGTTTTATTTATTTCTAAGAGAGAGACAGGGAGACAGCGTGAGCAGGGGAGGGTCAGAGAGAGAGGGAGTCACAGACTGAAACAGGCTCCAGGCTCTGAGCTGGCAGTCAGCACAGAGCCCTACGCGGGGCTCGAACCCACGAACCGTGAGATCATGACCTAAGCGAAAGTCGGACGCTCAACTGACTAAGCCACCCAGGCGCCCCAGTTGTTGAGTAATTTTGATACCTATCTCTGTGTTCTATCCTCTTCTTAGAGGAATTCTGGAGACTTTTTGTCCTAGTTTTCATTCCTTACTTCTCCTTTCCTGAGATATTTAGAATTGTTTTAGTTTATCTTTATTTCTACCCCGACCAGTTCTCTCCAATTTATATCTGCCTTATTTAAAGATGTAAAAGTTGTGATATAACTTCATCACAGTTTTATTTCAATATTTGTTACAGAAATACATTGGGGAAGGAAGTTTTAATTTGTTATTTAATCATATTATTAAATTAGTGTTTTAAAATATTTGGCTATAAAATAAGTAACTCCAAAATTCCAAATTGTATCTTTCAGGAATCCCCTTCTGGTCGAAGGAAAGCTCTGGCTACTAGCAGCATCAACATGAAACAGTATGCAAGCCCTATGCCAACTCAGACTGATGTCAAATTAAAATTCAAGCCATTGTCTAAAAAAGTTGTATCTGCCACTCTCCAGTTTTCATTATCTTGCATTTTCCTTAGGGAAGGAAAAGCCACGTAAGTTTCTTTTGTCAAGAAGACAAGCTGCTTCTCAGTGTGTTTTAAAACTGTATGTAAACAGCTTTTGATTTAGGAGACTGGCAGCAATTGATAATATCCTACTGCATACCAGTCATTCTTGCCATTCTTTGTTTCCGAGGCTGAATTAAATGAACTACTTGGTGTATATAGTCTCTTTACTCTAGAGAGTGAACAGTAATATAAAAGTGATTATAGCAGGTTCCAAATTTTATTTATTTAATTTTTTAATGTTTTATTTAGTTTTGAGAGAGAGAGAGAGACAGCATGAGCAGGGGAGGGTCAGAGAGAGAGGGAGATACAGAATCTGAAACAGGTTCCAGGCTCTGAGCTGCCAGCACAGAGCCTGATGCGGGGCTCAAACCCACAAATGGTGAGATCATGACCTGAGCTGAAGCCGGATGCTCAACTGACTGAGCCACCCAGGTGCCCCCAAGTTCCAAATTTTAAACTGTGTATTATGGTGTATCATACATGTTTGTTTTAATATTGTCTTCAATGTAGGTAGTTGTACTCTGAAGTACAGACAGTTCAATTTGTAGAGCTATGTGATACAGCTAAGATATAAGAGGAACCCAAGATGAAAAGTTTAGAATAAGAGGGATGAAGGAGCCAAAGGAACTTTTACCAATTCATGTTCGCTGTTCTGGTCTTCCAAAAATTGTATAGCAAAGTACACTTTTCTATACAATTATCCTTTTAAACAATTACTTCTTAAGCACTGAATGGGCATTGCACAGATATAATTCCTGCACCAGGTCTGGTCTCCTAAGTGTAAAATTCTAATTGTGTAAAATGAGGTAAACATCCCTGGAACAGGAAAAATGTAACATTTACCATGGTTGTTACATACAGTGAAGTCAAGGATGAGTGCATGTTTAGGGTATATGAAAGGGTTAGTACCTATTTGGAGAGGAAGATCAGGGAGGGAAGAAATGGAAATTCTAAGCCTGGATTTAAAAGGTGAGAGGAGGAAGCCAGCTATGAACATTTTGATCTAATCTGAATCATAGTTCTAAATGTATTTGAGCCAGTGGAATGTGGTTACTATAATTGGCCATGTCTACTTGACTGATTAGACTGGATTCTGTGTCAGTCAGAATGTTTGGCACTCATCTATAGGGCAGCAAATGACTTGGTAGATAACAGTAAGCCTCATCTCCTGGAAAGTTGGCTTTTGAGTAAGTGTGGTAGAGGGATAGGACAGAATGGAAGCAATCAGTCTTTCATCTCAGGACCTTAAATTTTAGACTTAAATACTGAAAAACTAAAAATAAAGATCTTACTCTGAAGTTCAAGCCATAACGAAAGGAAAGGAAACATAGGAAGAAGAGAGAAAACAAAATCAGAGAAGATCCTTTGAATGTGGACTCCTTTCCACTGGGCAGAAGCAGTAAGTGAATCAGCACCATCCCTGGGAGAATCTGGGAAATTTAGTCGAACCAGATGTCTTAATTCCACTGGAAATTTCTCTTAAAACACCCCAAATTCCCACTCTGCCTCCACACTCCTTGCCTCCTTAACCTTTCACAGAGAAATATGTTCAAGGTTAAAGTACGAGGATATTAAAGAGATAAAATTAAGCAAGTTAACATTTCAAGAGTAATGGTATATCTTGAAATTATTCCCGATTGACAGGTGAGCAATTTGTAAAGCATATAAAGTAATACAACTTTTTTTGTTCATGCAGACTTTATGTCACTAAATTTATTTTTAAAAAGGGAAATGATTTTGTTAACTCTAGGCTTACATGAGATAAAATGCAAAGAATTTCAAAAACCAGTGTAATCTCCATAGCTGTACTGTATTTAGAAAATAAGTGAATGTTAACAAACATTTGTTTACAAACAAGTTTCCTTGTTTTGTTTTCTATTTTATTGTGGTTAGAACATGGGAAACAGTATCTTAATTGGACCTTCTGAATTTTAGGGAAGTATATCAGATTGAAAGTTTGTATATAATGTGTTAGAAATGTGTTTTACTCATGATAATTTATTTGAAATTTAGGCATAAATGATAGTTAAGGAAAACTTCAATTATTTGATGTTTAGAGTATTTAATGTAAATACTTTTATATACTTTGTATACTTTTATATATTAGTTTGTATACTTATATTTAAAATACTTGAAGATAAAAAACATTTTTACATTTTTATCCAATGTATGGTATTTAACTTATAGTCAACCCAGGTCATTTTTCATCCTGTAATTTTTAAAAATGCTGTTCCAGTAGTTAACTTATAGCCTCTTTGAGAAAAATGCACATTTAAATAAGGTTTACACATACATTTATAGTGGTTTCCAATTTCTTTTTCCTCCTACCCCCAAAACCAAAAGGGTTCATGGATTTCAGATTAAGAATTTCCCTTCTCATTTATTTTGCAAATCTGAATATTTTATTTTATTTTTCCATAATATATTTAATTTCCATTAAATTATCTTTTTGATCAAGGATATCACACAACTAATGTATTTTATCTGTTTTTGCCACTAGATACATTTTTTAGCCATTCTGAATAAAAATACTTCATAAGACCTCATTGCGCTGGTGTGATGAGAAAAATAATGTTCATCTCTTATATGCCAAGATGTATTTTATTTTATTTATTTTTTTATTATGTTTTAAAAATAGTTTATTGTCAAGTTGGTTTCCATATAACAAAGTCTAGATCTTATTGATTTGCAAACTATCTCACTGTTTTATGAAACAAGTTTTATTTCTAGACTTAATGATTAGGAACCCACACTTTAATCCTGTGAAGAAAATTTTAGTCTTCCATAGATGGCAGCAAAGAGTTAAACTAACTCCTAACTAGTTAGTTTTTAATCTAGTTTGCTTTTTACTAATTAAACATGCCATTTAAAAATTAATGGATATGACTGTTTAGGTTTTTCAGTAGTCTTGTACAACTTTTTTGAAAGGCTTATTAGTACATAGTAAAAAGAATATTATTATATTCTTAAGAAACTTTTTTCAAACAATGTCATTTAATGAACTGTGTATTAAATTTTAAATCATTGATGTAGGGATGAAGACATGCAAAGTTTGGCTAGTTTGATGAGTATGAAGCAGGCTGACATTGGCAATTTAGATGACTTTGAAGAAGATAATGAAGAAGATGATGAGAACCGAGTGAACCAAGAGGAAAAGGCAGCAAAAATTACAGGTTGGTTTTATTAGCAGTAAGCTAAAAGTTTACCTTTTTCTTTTTTTTGCAAAGTTGAAAACTAATTCTTGTTTTCCAGGAAAAAAACAATACCTCTAACAAAGTATTTTTTCCTCTGTAAGCCTTTTAATATACCATTTAGCTCTTTGAAAACTTTATGTGATGATGGTTCATATCAGATTTTCATAATTAAAAATCAGGTCCAAGTTTAGTCAGGAAAGCATAAAACTTTACTGGAACTACTGATTATAGTATAAAGTAGCCTAAATATGTTCACACTTCTTATGTCAATGTATGGATGAACCTTCTTGTAAGTAAAGATCTACCTTAAGGCTGGCATGACAAAATGCATTGGCTACCTTCTTTTTTTTTTTTTTTTTTTTTTTATTTATTTCTAGGAGAGAGAGAGAGAGACAGCGTGAGCAGGGGAGGGTCAGAGAGAGAGGGAGTCACAGACTCTGAAACAGGCTCCAGGCTCTGAGCTGGCAGTCAGCACAGAGCCCGATGCGGGGCTCGAACCCATGAACCGAGAGATCATGACCCAAGCGAAAGTCGGACGCTCAACCGACTAAGCCACCCAGGCGCCCCTTGGCTACCTTCTTCTAGCTCGTGTGTGTTTATTCACATAAATTATGTGCACATTCTTTGGTTTGGATTTGTATATATATTATGTATCCTTATATCTAGAAGATTCCATGTAAGTATTCCTTATAGCTGGCTTGGTCAAACTTAAGATGATTAAATATTTAGAATCTTTTGTATTAATTGGCAAACAAGTATTTATTAATAATCTGACTATCACACTTAAGGAACTGATGTTATACCTTTATTACTGGAGTGAGAAGCAAACGCTATGTACATATTCCTTTCAGCTAATGAAGTGTCCTAAATTTCTGTTTTGAGATCTCTAGACTTCTGTCATCTAGGTGACGTTTCCAAATCCATAGGGCACTTTGGCAGTCCTCTCTTCGCTTAGCCTCAACTCTTACTATTATATAGGGGATTTCCATTGATCATATGACCCATTTAACTCCTTAGTCAAAAACTTCCTTGACTCTCTCAATTCTAGTGATGTTCACTTTCATTCCACTTGTAGAAATTTATTATAAGGAATTGATTAGACTTATATGCAAAGATGTGTGTTTAGTTCTGTGTAAATTTTGTAAATTATTAATTTCTAATTTATGATTGCCATTTTGATTTCTTATTTAACTCAAGGTTTATTTAGAATGGTGGGATTTATCATGGACTTTATTTAATTTTAGTTAGTTTCCAGTTTAATTTTATTTAAATAAGATGCTGAAGCCTTTCAGATTTCAATTTCATATGAATGAGGGTTTTTTTCTTTGTAGTCTAGATATATGATCTATTTTTAAAAATTTTCCTTAAGTGGGGTGCCTGGATGGCTCAGTCGGTTAAGCGTCTGACTTCGGCTCAGGTCATGATCTCGCAGTTCTTGGGTTCGACCCCTGCATCGGGCTCTGTGCTGACAGCTCAGAGCCTGGAGCCTACTTCAGATTCTGTGTCTCACTCTCCCTCTGCCCCTCCTCTGCTTGTGCTCGCTCTCTCTCTCTCTCTCTCTCTCAAAAATAAATAAATAAACATTTAAAAATTTTTTTCTGTATCTTTTCACATACATATTTCTATTTGTTGGATTCAGCATATATTTATAGGCCAAACTTTTAATTTATATTATTGAGTCAGTTTTTTTTTTTTTAATGTTTTATTTATTTCTAGGAGAGAGAGAGACAGCGTGAGCAGGGGAGGGTCAGAGAGAGAGGGAGTCACAGACTGAAACAGGCTCCAGGCTCTGAGCTGGCAGTCAGCACAGAGCCCGACGCGGGGCCCGAACCCACGAACCGCGAGATCATGACCTAAGCGAAAGTCGGATGCTTAACCGACTAAGCCACCCAGTCTCCCCTATTTAGTCAATTTTATAGCCATATTCTTTTTGTATAGTTCATTTTTGAAAGATCAAGAATTTCAATGCTAAATTCTTCAGTGCATAAAAATTAATTTTCTGATAGTTTCATTATGGGTTCTAATTTGATCAGTTTGCCCTACTTAATGCCTCTTGCCATGAAATTTTGTCTGATGTTTGATATTTGAACTCATGATTTCTTTATGTTTGCATTTTCCTGGTGTAGTTATCACTTCATCTTTTTTAAAAAAAATTTTATGGTTTATTTTTGAGACTGAGAGAGACAGAGCACAAGTGGGGGAGGGGCAGAGAGAGAGAGGGAGACACAGAATCCGAAACAGGCTCCAGGCTCTGAGCTGTCAGCACAGAACCCGACACCAGGTCGAACCCATGAACTGTGAGATCATGACCTGAGCCGAAGTCAGACGCTTAACTGACTGAGCCACCCAGGCGTCCCTATCACTTTGTTTTTAACTTGTATTAAGCACTTCTCTTATATACCGTATTTGGTTTATCTTTGTATTCTTTGCCCTTAATACTTATATTTTTTGATAACTGCATACTTAATTTCACTTATATTACTTTATCCTTTTATTTGTGAATTTTCTTACTATTTTTTTCCACTCACCATTTAAATTTTACTATTCTCAAATGTTCTGTATTTAAGCCTTTTTTAATAGAGTTATTTGGAAGCTATATGTTCTGTTTTCATTTTTTTTTTAATTTTTTAATGCTTTATTTCTGAGAGAGAAAGAGACAGCATGAGCAGGAGAGAGTTAGAGAGAGAGGGAGACACAGAATCTGAAGCAGGCTCCAGGCTCTGAGCTACCTGTCAGCACTGAGCTTGACGCGGGGCTCGAACCCATGAACTGTGAGATCATGACCTGAGCCGAAGTTGGATGCCTAACTGACTGAGCTACCCAGACACCCCTCTGTTTTCATTTTAGTCTATTATCCTCTAAGATAAAAAAAGCCAGATGGATAAAAAATGAACCTGTAATTCTTTAGCAACATTAAAAATAAAACAGGCATGCATGGCTGGCTCAGTCAGTAGAGCATGTGACTCTTGATCTCAGGGTTGTGAGTCTGAGTCCCACACTGGGTACAGAGATGACTTAAAAATAAAATCTTCAAAACAAAACAAAACAGATTGTATTGACTCACTTCATGTAAGATGAGAGGTTCAGTATTATTTTATTTTCTCTTCTTTTTATTTGAACACCTTCCAACTGTTATTTTTCTTTCAGTAAATTTTGGACTTCTGTTTTCAACAATAAATGAAGACATTTGAATTATGTTTATAATGACGTTAGCCACAGTTATACAATATTTTTAAAAATGCTGTCTTTCCTATCTTTGAGTTCTGTGTTTTATTTGAGTAGCTGAAGTACTTCAGGAAAGGTAAGTTAGTAACCTTCCTCTACTGCCACCAGTGACTTTTTACCAATCCTTCAAAATTTAATTATATTGACACATACTCTGAGAAACCTTTTTTGCCCAGTTCCTCTTAAGCTTGACCATTTCATCCCTTAGCTACTACTGTACTGTTTTCAAATGTAGACATTTTCTTGCAGAATGAATGTTTACAACTGCTATGAGATATAATCTGATCTTTTAAAGGGAGAATATGGTTTGATCTTTGTGAATGGCTTTTGGTTAAAACTAAATCTCAATTAGGCTCTCATACCTTAAGTAAGAAAATTTTAAAACCCCAGGCTTTTATAGTTGTTTTGAGCAATGTTGTACTATTTTGATCAAAGCAATGGGGAAAAAAAGTGATAACAGTACGTCAGAGGTTCTATGCTGGTATTGAAAGGAAAAGAAAGGACATTATTTTTGATCCAATTATAGATAAAATGAAAACAATGATAATCAGATTTTATTGTCTTAGTCTGTTGGGGCTGCTATAACAAAATACCATGGTTGGGTAGTTTATAAGCAACAGAAATTTATTTCCCACAGTTTTGGAGACTGGAAGTCTGAGATCAAGGTGCCAGCATGGTTAGATGAAGGCCCTCTTCTGGGTCACAGACTTCTCACTGTATTCCTCACATGGTGGAAGGGGGCAAAGGATCTCTTCTGGACCCACTTTTAGAAGGACATTAATCTTATTCATGAAGGTTCTGCCCTCATGACCTAATCTTCTCTGAAAGGCCCCTACCTGGGGCGCCTGGGTGGCTTAGTGGGTTAAGCGTCTGACTTTCGCTTAGGTCATGATCTCGCAGTTTGTGGGTTTGAGCCCCGCGTCGGGCTCTGTGCTGACTGCCAGCTCAGAGCCTGGATCCTGTTTCAGTCTGTGACCCCCTCTCTCTCTGACCCTCCCCTGCTCACGCTGTGTCTCTCTCTCTCTCTCCTAGAAGTAAATAAAACATTTAATGAAAGGCGCCCACCTCCTAATACCATCACACTGAGAATTAAGATTTCAACATATGAATTTGGGGGGAACACTAACATTCAAACCATAGTAACCTTTATTGCTTAAACATACACATACACCTTATTTTCTAAAATTCCTGTAGAAGAAATAACTTTCTTTTAGATAGTCAAAAATTCTCTGACCCTAACTGAAGAAATTGCTTTAATGCAACTTGTGATGATCCAAGATTTCTTTGGAATTCTACTATTTTGTGTTATTATTTATGTACGTATTTCTTTTCCCTATTTTATGTAAGTCCTTCAAGGTAGAGACTATGTTCTAACCATTTTTTTTTATCCCTCACTTCTGTCACATTGTCTGGAACATATTGAGAACTTAGAATGTGTTAACTGAAAGGCCGTACATAAATCAATGAAGGGACTTCTTTCTCGTACTATAGCCCATACTGATCACTCTGTCTGGCTTATTATCTTGTTCCATTTATTTGACCTTTACTCATATACCACCTTATCCAGGGTTGAGTGGTCCCATTTTATGGAAGATATGTGATCTGGAGGAGACACATAATTCAAGCCTTAAGTAATTCAAGACTAGTTTTCCAAAAGTAATGAATATAAAATGTGTATTGAGGGAGCAGGGGTAGATGGGGACAGTGGTGATTAGATGCGTGCTCTTAAGTCAGTCCAGAGTCATTATAACATT